GGGGTGCGCTCGCCCTCAGTCAGCCTGGATCCCTGGAGTAGGGGTGCGCTCGCCCTCAGTCAGCCTGGATCCCTGGAGTAGGGGTGCGCTCGCCCTCAGTCAGCCTGGATCCCTGGAGTAGGGGTGCGTGCTCGCCCTCGGTCAGCTTGGATCCCTGGGGCCGGGCCCTGGCACTTACCCAGGAGGCACAGGTCAGGTCCTGGGCGCGCGGCAGCATCTGGATTCCAGGAGGGCACCTGGGGCGCTGCAGGGCCACCCATGTGGACGCTGGGCTACCCGCTGCGCTCGTGTGCCGGCTCTCAGGATGCGCCTTCCTCACGGCTGGAGGTGTGCCCTTCTGTTCATTTTGTCTGTTTTTTTAAAGACTTGATTTTTTAGAGCAGTTGTAGGTGCACAGCGACGCTGCGGGTGCAGAGATCCCTGCACACACCTGCCCCCCTGCACAGCCCCATCTGGCTCCAGGCAGCTGCTCTGACAGCTGAGGAGCCTGGCCGACCGCCAGCATAGCTGGGTTCCCGTTTGCACGGGGCTCACCTTGGCGGTGCACTTGTGGGTCTGGACAGAGGCGAGTGACGTGGACCCGCCGTCACAGCGCCACAGTGTTTCCTCTGCTCTGCCGCCCTCGCTCTGCCCGTCCCCACCCGCCGAGGCCCTGCCCACTGCTCTGTCCTGTCGGCAGGTGGTTGGAGTCACGAGCAGCCTTCCGGCTGGCGCCTCCCACCTGGCAGGGTGCGTGTGGGGTCCTCCGCGTCTCCTCGACCTGGTAGCTCGTGGTTTTACTGCTGAATCACGTTCCCTTGCCTGGGTGGACCAAGTTGTCTCTACCTCCTTGGGCATTTCGGTTGCTTTCAGGGGTCCCCTTTAGAGCTGGCCCTGGCTGAGAGGGGCCCGGGGGTCAGGCACAGAACCACTTTGTCACAGTTGCCAACTTTGTCCATGTGCCAAAGAGTGCGAGGTCTGGTGGGCCTCGTTCTCCCCTCTCGTCGGCCCTGCTCCATGGAGGGCCAGCCTGAGACGTGGGAGCAGGAAGCGGCCAGCTCTCCCGGCCCAGCCGGCCCAGCCAGCCGCCCTTCAGCAGAGGGGGGACACGGGCCGCCATGGGTGTGCCTTTCACGGAAAGGAGAGAAAGTGAGTTCTGAGATGTCGACTTTGATTCACCTCGACACAGTGTTCCAGTGTTAACACTCCGTGTGGCTAAGGTGTGGCAGGTCACGGATGGAGAGATATCTGGCTCATGTTGACAGAAACCTGTTAATGATTGTGAGAGTTGTCACTATTTTTACTGCCTTCCCGATAGGCCCTTGGCACAGTGCCCAAAAGTGAGCTTGCAGTGAGAGCTGGGCAGCTCCACCGTGTTTGCCTGGCACACCCGGGGTACGGCCCAGCTGGGAGCCTGCAGGTGTGCTCGGGGCGGGGCACGGGCCGCGTACCTGAGACAAGCCTGCACCCACTTTGGGCCCTGGCGCCAGCACAGCTGGTCTGCCTGAGAGGACACGCGTCTTCGGCCTCTGCTCCTGCAGGGGTCGGTGCCCCCCAGCGCCCTGCCCAGTGCTGTGGGAGCGCTGTGGGAGTGGCAGCCCTGCCCCCGCCCCCGCCCCCGCCCCCGGGAGCTTCTGCCACAGCCTTGGTAGTTATGCTCCCGATTCCAGGCTGGGGGCCGGGCCGCTCGGGACAGACAGACTGCCTGCCCGCCCTCCTGACACTTCTGGTTTCCCAAGAGGCAGATAATAAGCAGACGAACCTGTTCAAATATAACGTCAGGTCATGGGAAAGGTCACAGAGAGGACAGAGCAGGAGAAGGGATCCAGGCTGACGGGGTTCTGTGAGGTGTGGGGCCGAGGAGGGCCTGTCTGGGGAGGTGACATCGAGGGAACAGAAATGTGAGGCCTGAGACCTGAAAATCAGTGCCAGGGTGTGGCGGGGGTGGTGGTGGCTGGGGCCATGGGGTAAGTGCTGTGGGGAGCCTTTGGGTCCTCTGGTCCCCCCTCAGGGTGAGGCAGGGCCCTGTGGAGGCGGCGTGTAGGTGCGGGCGGGGCCAAAGCAGGTGCCCCTCTGAAGCCGCAGGCCGGCTGGTCCAGAGCTGGGAGCAGGAGTCTCGGGACTCCAGTGCGTCATCCTCCATCCGGTGCTGCGGTGCACCCGGCCTCTCCCTCGTCTGGTGGTTCCTGGAACCGCCGCGCTGTGGAGCCAAAGGTCAGGCCAGGGTGAGGAGCCCGCCCGATAACAGGTTTCTGGCCGGCAGGGAAGTGTCCTGCTTCCTGGCAGTGAGTCTGTCTGAAGTTACCCTGCGCTCCTCACCCGGGCCGTGGTCTGGGTGCTACTGCCCGGCCAGCTTTGCTCACCAAGGACCTTGCTCCAGGCCCAGGGCGCTGTGAGGCCACCCGTGGCCCCCTTAGGTCCCGATCTTCTTCTGAGGGAGAAAGACTGCAGTGAAGCTAGACTCCAGGAGAGTTGGAGGGTGGTCGCAGGCTCCCCAGCGTGGCAGTGGGGTGACTAATCCCCAGTGCTCACCTGAGGTGCAGCCTGGGCCAGGGAGGCAGCTGCAGCAGGAGAGGAGACAGAAAGTTGGGGTGTATTACGCCTTCCCAAGTTCTCAGGATTGGCACTGGGATGCCGTGGCGGTCTTCTCTAACAAGGTGTGCGTGCACATGTGCAAGGTGTACACACAGTGAGCAAGGTGTACGTGCACAGTGCACAGATAGTGTAACCGCAATAATTTCGTTTGGGGGGTGGCAGTTAGGAAAGACAGGTCTGAAACAGCATCTTTGTGGGGTTGGTAATGAGAACAATGGAATCAGGCTGAGAAGCAGAGGACACGTGGGGTCCTTGGGTGGGCAGGTGACGGGCTGTCTGCCTTCATGGCTGTGCCCTAGGCTGCCTTGCGAGGGAGGGATGGTTTTATGCAGATTTTACCAGTTAGAAGTACCCATAGGACCAGGCCCTTCAACTGTCCCCACTGGACCCTGTGGTCTAGGAGCGCTGGATGGGCAGTCAGAGTGGCCATGTCACACCAGCTGTCACCCATGTGGGCATGGACCTCCCTCTCCCTGTCCCTCACAGCCCCTGTCGGTGCAGGCTCGGGGGAGCTGGCTGGCAGGTGGCACCAGGTGGACCCAGTGTGCTGAGGGGCTGCTCTTGGTGTCAGAAGAGCTGGGACAGTGGTGGCAGGTGGCCAGGGCTCTGGCCTTCTCTTCTGAGGCTGGAAGAGACCTGTGTCTCGGCACCTGTCCCTCCCAGCTCCCGGGTTTGTGGGTGATGGGCGGAGTCTGAGCCTGTGGGTGCAGAGGACAAGCCAGCCTTCTGCTGGACCGCTGGGCCGCCCGTGCAGAGTCCAGGGCCAGCCTGGCCACCTGAGGTCTCCAGCACAGGTGCGGTAGTCACATGGTTGCGACACGGCAGTGGCCTGGGGGTGGGACAGTCGATGGAGCGACGCACACAGGCAAGCAACTTTGTTGAGGTCCCCTGCGTGTGCGTGTGCGTGTGCGTGCGTGTGGAGGGTCAAGCACATTACAGGAAGAGGCCGCCGAGCATCGTCATCTCTTACCCAAGATGTTCTTGGAAGTGCTCTTGCCCCGAGTGAGGAAATGGCTTCTATTTCAGGAGTGCGGTGTGTGTTTCATGTTGTTGACCACTCGTGATGATCGTGCGTGGCCATGGGCCTTTGAAAGGTCATGCTGGCAGGGAGGGACCGAGGCCAGTGTGCAGGGGAGCCTGCACAGGATCCTACGGCTCGTCCCTCTGACTTAGGCTGGGTTTCCCGGGCTAAGTGTCCTTGGCACTGGGGAGGGCGCGGCGTGGAGAAGACGGGGCTCCCAGAGGAGGAAGGAAACGCAGGGCAGCCTTGGCTGTGGCGGCTGCAGGAAGAGCCTTTCAGGACGAGCTCTGAGGGGCCAGGCTCGGGGAGAGGCAGAGTGGGGGACGGGGTGCGGAGCAGGGGCCCGCCGGCACTGTTCACGTGGCACCGCAGGTTCTGGGAGAACCAGCGCCTTCACTCCAGGCTGTCACCGTGTACGCAGTCAGACTGCAAGGCCCGGAGGGCAGCAGCCCACGCGCATGGCTGCGTGCTTTGTGACGGCACCTCCGAGTGGAGCGTCAGTCGGCTCGTTTTCAGGGAAAAGGGGAAGCGGTGTTCTCTGGGCGGGGCCCCCTCGCAGGGCCTCCTCAGCTCTCTCCACTGCCGCTAGTGGGCTCTGCTGCCTGGCCTGCAAGTCCCTGAGCCCCCGCGGGGACTCGCATCTGGTGCCCTTCAGCTCCCTGTCTGTGGCAGCACATGGAGGGAGTTGTGTCCCTCGAGGGAAGGCCCCACTGGTCCTTAGGTGAATGCAGAATGGGGTGACCTGTTCTTACCTCACACCTCTGTCACCCTGACGGCCCGTCTGCCGTCCCCTCACCTGCCAGTCAGCACCGCGTGGATTCTTCGCCTTGGTGCTCGCGGGCTGAGTCCCCGCGGTGGGCTGCGGCGCAGGCCGTCGGAGAGCAGGGCTCTGGGCTTGGCTCCGGGAGAGGCCCTGGTGGGATGTGGTGCAAGAGCAGAGCCTGTGCCTGGGCATCAGGTGCCCTCTGAGACCACCTGTCGTCAGGCTTGGGGAGAGGCCGCAGGGTGCAGTGCGGCCGAGAGGACAGGGCTATCCCAGCAAGCCCCTGGGGTGCAGCAGGCTGCCCGCGGCCCTGAGCCCCGCAGCTCCCGGCAGTGCTGGGACTGGGCGGGGGGCAGGCCTGGGCACGCGCCCACAGCCCGCAGCCTGTCCCGGCCCAGGGCGGTCTGCTGCTCTCTCAGGCTGACACGAGGCGCAGCCTGTCCCGGCCCAGGGCGGTCTGCTGCTCTCTCAGGCTGACACGAGGCGCAGCCTGTCCCGGCCCAGGGCGGTCTGCTGCTCTCTCAGGCTGACGCGAGGCGCAGCCTGTCCCGGCCCAGGGCGGTCTGCTGCTCTCTCAGGCTGACACGAGGCGCAGCCTCGCCACGGTGCTCACTCTGTCTGCTCGTTTCCTTTTCCCTGCAGGCCTCTGGCTGTACCTGGCGGGGAGCAGCCTGCCCTGTCTCACGCTGATTGGCTCTCCTAATTTTGGGTACAGGTCAGTCCACCGGGACCTGGAGGCCCAGATCGCCATTGTGACAGAGAGCCAGGCCCTGCAGCAGCAACTTCACCAGGTGGGTCGGCAGGCGGGTTTCCCGGGGTGAGTGGAGGTGTCGGGCGCTCAGCCCTGTCATGTCACTGGTTCCCTGAGAGCTGTGTTCCTCTGGGCGCTGAGCAGTGAGAAAGCACCGGGTTCCTGCCCGTCACCAGCGGCGGGCGTGCGGGCGCTGAGAAAACCCTGCGGCCAGGGCAGCCAGTGCTGCTGGATGGGACAGGGCCGTGCCGTCCCACTGCCTCCAAGTGCCAGCCCCTGGCAGCCTCCCAGGGAGAGGGGAAGGAGAGGCAGGAGGAGGGTGGCCCTGGCCAGGGGCACACAGGGGGCGTGTCCTTGCAGAGACCTGGAGTGCGGTGCAGCGGCCCCGGGGCTGTGATCCCTGCACTCTGACAGTCCCGCTCACAGGTCCTGTGACCTTGAGTCAGGCCTTTTGCACGGAGGGTTTGGAGTCCGTTTATTTTCCCTCCGAATCGTTCCACTTGGCGGTGGTCTGGCTTGGACTGGTGGAGGGTGGAGGGCCTGGAGGTGCGCCAGGCCAGGGGCAGGGCCTGGAGGCGGCCTGAGCGGCCACGGAAAACTGCCCCCAGCCATGCTGGGGTGGTGGGTGCGTGCCTGACGCCGTGTCCTTCCTGGGGGGCTGGGTCTGGAGCCCCGGGTGGTCTCCCCCTTGCCCACAGCTGTAACAGCCGTGAGGGGAGGAGCATTCTTCCTGCGAGGGGCAGCGGGGCTGGCAGCCTGGTCGGCTCTGGCCGGCTCAGCACGCAGGTGTGAGCGGGCGATCGAGCGAGGGTGGTGAGACTTCCCGTAGCCTCTGGTCGGTCTGTGCTCTTAGCCATTTGGAAGTTCTCCTGAGCTTGGGCTGGGGAGTTATGGGCTTGGGGACCCCGAGGCCCATGCTGCTGGCTGGCCAGCAACCCACCGCCCACCCCCAGGTGCTGAGCCGGGGAGCGTGAGCACAGGGCCTCGTGTCTGCCCCTGGGCAGTGCCTTGTTCACGCCTCTGTGGAAGGTGCAGGCCCCCCGAGTGGGAGTGCAGACTCCACTGCCGCGGGCCAGCCCCAGAGCTGCCGAGACTCACTCGGTGAAGCTCCTATTCCCCAGTGTTTGGGAATTACTGTTGCGAAACCGTTGGAGCCTTTGTTGCCGGGAGGAAACGGCCTCGGCCTTGCTCCCTGGGACTTGCCTCCTGCGATCTGGGAATCTCGTCTGACTAGTGGGGCCTGGGTGCCGGGAAGGGCTCCGCGACCAGGGCGAGAGGAAGTGGCAGCGGTCATGCTCTGGGTGGCCAGCGAGAATCTGGTCTGCTCAGCAGGTTTCTGGCTGCAGGGAGGCTTCCAGCAAATGACTCGAGGAAGCCCCCACAACCAGGCCCCGAGGGCCCGGCCTGCAGCCGTCCACCCAGGACTCCTGCCGTGGCCGTGGCCGTGGCCGTGGCCGTGCAGAGCGGCTTCCACAGGTGCTGGATCTCGGCGCTTCTCCCGACAGCAGTCACGAGTGTGCATTGGCCTCGGGCCAAGACGAGGTCTCTGTCGACCTCGGCTGGTTTTGGGGAGCACGACCCCCAGGCCTGTGCCCCGGGGGTTCTGGTTCTGGCTCCTCACTCCCACTTCCTGAGTCGAGACTGAACCCACATCCTGGTTCTCGGGAAAAGCTGGCCGGTTGTGGTCAGGAGCTGCTTTCCCAAGTGACATACTTTGGATATTTTCTTCCCAAACCTGACTCCCCGGGGCTTTCAGTTGGGGGGTGGGACCATGCTACTGTGGCCCTCAGTTCAAGAGGCACCCTAACGGCAGAAACGTGTTTCCAAGGGGCGCCCCCTTGTGCTTGTATCCGGGACTGCAGCCGTCCTGGAAGGCCCGTCCCCTCGGATGCCTGGTCCCGGGACTGCCGAGCCACAGCCTCTGCACAGCCCAGAAAGTCCCTAAAAGCCCGCGGCGGGGCCTGCTCCCAGGGGCACCTCTGGAGCTCTCCGTGGGGTGCGGGAAGGGCCCCGTGGGGGTCACACTGGACACCAGGAATGGAAGATATTTTTATCAGAGTCGAGGTCCCTCCCTTCACTCAGTACATACAATAAAGACTGAAAGCTTCCTGGTTTTGTTCAGAGAACACGGCTTACCAGTTGTGACCCCAGAAAAACGCCCTCGAATAGCATTGTGACCTTGATCAGCTGACTTCCTTCTCCAGCCCTGTTGTGGAGTCTCGGAGGAAACCCAAGTGTTTCTGGTAATTTAATTGAAACATCGGCTGCACAGTCATTGAAAACACAAAACTGGAGTCGGTCTGTGGGGCCTCGCACACCGGACCCCGAGACCACAGCTGGCTTGTCTGTCAGGCACACCAGCCAGGGTTCGGGTCCCTTGCAGCTGCATCCGGGACCTAAGGATCAGCTGGGACAGGAAAGTCCGCCCAGATCCAGGGGCCGTGGGGACCCAGGCCCAAGAGTGCTGGTTCCGGGCCAGAGGAGCCGGCAGGAAGCATGCAGAGGTCCCGGCCCAGGCGGGGGCGCTGTGGGCAGATGCACCTGCTCTGCAGGGTCAGAGGAGCCTGCCAGGTCGGGCCTTCGTTCCTGCCCCCAAGGAAGAGCACCCCACTCCCCAGCAGTGTTCTCTGTGGTGCTGCTGGTCCCGCAGCGGGCAGGGCATCTTCATCGCTGGGGCTGCTGGGGCCCCCTGGGAGTGGGGTGGTGGGCAGCTGAGAGCCAAGGGGCGCGAGGCCCCTGCGGAAGCACACGGGGCGCGGAGGCCCCTGCGGAAGCGCACGGGGCGGTGAGGTGGTATCGTTTCATACGCAGCGTCTTCTGCCTGTATGTTGTGCACTTTCCCGTGTTACCAGATGAATGTTCTAGAACATGCCACCACATGGAGAGAGCTGGTTTGTCCCCAGGTTTGCTATGTTTAATGGTCCTCAGACACTTAGGTGGTGTCCAGGTCCTCGTTCTGAATGCCGCTGCGTGAAGGCCTCTGTCTGCCCTCGGTGTGGACTCTCCTGTGGGTCAAGTCCTGCAGGGGCTCTTCCCAGGGCTGGGACCCGCCGCCAGCGGTCTCCACGGAGTCTCCCCGCTTGGCTGTGCGCGGAGCCCTGCCCGCCGGCGTCGGCACCGGCTGATGTGCTGTGACGTTCTCACCAGTTTGAGGGAAGAAGAGTAACGTTTCATTTGAAAATAATCCTCAGCCCTGGCCGGTTTGGCTCAGCGGTTGGAGCGTCCGCCTGCAGTCCAGAGAGACCCGGGTTCGGTTCCCGCTAAGGGCACGTACCTCGGTTGCAGTTTGTGCCCGGCCCTGGTTGGGTCATGTGGGTGGCAGCCACTCGATGTGTCCCTTTCACATTGATGTTTCTCTCTCTCTCTCTCCCTCCCACTCTATCTGAACAAAAAAATGGAAAAAAATGTCCTCGGGTGAGGATAAAAAAAGAAAAGAAAAAAGAATCCTCAGTGGGCAGTATCTGTTGGCGAGAGTGAACTTTTAAGTACTTTTCCCACCAGCCATGTTGCTTCAACTCCGGATGGCGTCCGTGCGCCTCGGTCCCCAGAGGAGCACGGCTGCTGAGCTGCTCTGGGAGTGTTTTAGGGGGAGCTGCAGCCGCGCCCCTGGTGCGGGAGGAGACCTAACTCCTGTCTGTCCTCCTCCTAGGAGCAGGGGCGGCTCTACCTGAGGTCAGGTGTGGTGTCCTCCGCCACCTTCGAGCAGCCGAGTCGGCACGTGCAGCTGTGGGTGAAGATGGTGACGCCCCTGATTAAGAACTTCTTCTGAGGACGACAGGTGCTGTCTCGTGCTGACCGCACGGCTCCCGGGTCCCTGGGGGCCCTTCTGCCCCAGCCTGGGGTTCCCGCCTCCCGCAGAAGCCCCAGGGCTCCATCTGTTCGCTGGTTACATACACGTGTCTCGGGTCACGGACGGTTATCACCATTGTTCGCCTGATGCTCAGTGAGGCAGCCCTGTCCCCTCCCCTCCGCCGAGTCCCAGGCCAGCAGTGGCATCACGGGCAGGGTCCTAGTGACCGTGGGGACACGGGTGCACTCTGTTCCCCTCCTCGAAGCTGAGCGCGTGGTTTCGGGCAGAGGGAGCGGGCGGAGGAAGCGCCCTGCCCCGGGAGGTTCTGGCTGCCCTGGGGCCGGGACCAGGGTCCGATCGCAGAGCCAGACCTCCGGCCGCGGCTGCGTCTCCTGAGCTGTGACGGGCTCCTGCCGAGGCGTGATGCTCTCTGTGCCGGCAGCCGGCCACAGGACACGCTCCACCCACCAGGAGGAGCCACCGTTAGCTGCGGGGCCCACCAGGGTGCTGACCTCAGGGTGGGGCCTGTCCCCAGTGACCCTCTGGGTTCCAGCTCCCTTCAGACCCGACCTCGCCCCCAGATGGTCCATGTGGGGTCCGCCTCCTGGGCCCCACTTGTCCTGGCCACACTGGGGCTGGCGGGGTGTCGGGCTTTGGGCTTCGGGAGTGAGCAAGTCAGAGAGGAGAGTGAAGGGCTGTGCTTCTCAGTGTGGCACTTGTGTTCACAGCGTGGGCCCGGGGGCCCTGAAACGTGCAGACTTGCAAACCCCACACGTTACCGACATCGTAGCTGAGTGAGACGTTAGCAAGAGCCCTCTGCCATCAGACACCCAGAAGGGTGTTCCCAGGCCCAGCCACCTGCATTTTTTATTTTGTTTGAATTTCTTGCTGCCTTCCACTCAGCGTTCAGGCACAGCCACACCCTGCCTGGGCGTGGTGCCCAGGTCCGACCTTTGGTCTCCCTCATTTCTCCCTTGAAGCTTATCTGCTGAAGGATGAACCTCATTTTTACTGGATTCACTGAAAGCGTTTCTGTCGCCCTGTCGCCTGCCGGGCATTTATAAAAGGCCAGGTGTCCTCCCGGGTTTCCGGGGACAGGCTTCAGGCTCGCTGCCTGCTCTCCACACCTCGGGGCGAGATTGGGCTGGGCCTGCCGGGCAGCCGCTCAGTCTCCCTCTCACGGCCAGGAACGCCGGGCCCTGGACAAGCCTGCACAGGCTCGTCAGCCTCCCCCGGGCCAGGCAGCCTGCAGGGCCCTGGCCGGGGCCGCACAGCCGGGCCGCACAGCCGGGCCTGAACACTGTCGGCCTTCCGGCGAGTTGAGTTGTCCTGCGGGAAGTTAGGCCGGAGAAGCCGAAGGAATGTGCAGGCCCTGGGCTTCTGTCTGGAGAGGCTTTCGGTAAACAGTGCTCACGTGCCTCCAGGCTCTGCGGGACCCGAGCAAACCAGCCACGGCCCCTTGAGCAGTTCCTGCCTGCCCTCTGCTGCCGCCCCTCTGTCTCTGCCAGTGACCTTCGGGGGGGTCCCGGCAGTCTCCCCAGCCCTCGGCCCTGGCTGCCCGCCGGGCACAGAGGGGCAGGAGGAGCTTACAGGTGTGCACAGGTGTGCCCGTCCTCGTCTTCCTGCCGCCGGGGGACCCAGAGGCCGGGCGGGGGCACCCAGAGGCCGGGCGGGGGCACCCAGAGGCCAGGCGGGGCACCCAGAGGCAAAGCGTCTGTCAGGAAGTCTGGAGATAATTTCATCAGCTCCCACAATGTGTAGTGGGAATAAATCACCACTTCTGGCTCTGAAGGCAAACTTGGGGGGCCGTCCCATTTGGTGGTGTCGCTGAGGACTGAAGCGGCCCTCCTGTCCCCTGCAGCCTGCAATGAAGGGCTGCAGCGACCCCGTCCTCAGCCCCAGGGAGGGGGCGTTGAGGGATGCTTTCTTTCTCCCTCGTGCCAGCCCCACCAGGACCCAGGATTGTTGTGAATTATCAGCCTCAGAATTAGGGCTACTAGGACCTCTTCGTTTGGCTGAGATACTCGGAGAAGAGTTTTTACTGAACTGCCAGATCGAGTAGAACTTAGAACATGGACGGATACCCCTAGGGGCTGCCATTACTCTGTTTCTAGGCCTAACAACGTCAAGGTGCCAGCCTGTGGGCCCCCCGTGTGCGTCCCCCTGCCCTAGCCAGCCCCCAGTGGAGCCGGCCGCCTGCGTCAGCTGGGCCGCTGAGTCGCACCGGTGCCGCGGGCTGGCTTCGCTCTGCTGGGACCCCGGTGGCAGATAGAATCGCCCTCCTACCAGTCCGCCCGGCTGCAGGTCTCAGCCAGGTCTGTCCCAGGGCACCCCCAGGGTCAGCACCGCAGGGCGGGAGCCCACAGAGTGCAGAGAGGCGGCCACTGGGCTGCTCTCCCCCCTCCCCGTGCTCGGCTCAGGAGCAGGTGCTCTGGCGGCCGGTGCAGGGGCGTGTGCTGCGGACTGCCCCTCCCCGCGGGCTGCCGTGGTCCCTAGCCTTTCCCTGGCGCTCAGGGGCCTGGACAGAGGCCCAGGGCTTGTCCAGGGTCTCTCATCCCCGGGAGCACAGATCGGAGCAGGGAAGTCGGGGCCTCTTGGCTGCCGAGCAGCGGCCTTGGCTGTGTAGGGCAGGATCGGACCAGCCCTGGACCCGCCCTGCTTGCCCCAGGCTGCATGTCAGGCTGGGGCAGACCCACGGAGCGCAGGGGACTGGGAGGCAACAGCAGCGCTGCCAGAGGTAGAGAGAGCTGTGGGCGCTGGAAGCTTGTGCCTCCCTGGACACACCGCTGGGCTGGCCCCGGAGCCTGCTCCCTGCGTCCTGTCCCCGCAAGTGCGGGAGGTGTGGCCTGGAGATGTGCCTCTGCGTGTGGGGGCATTGCCGTGACCGGGAGGCGCTCGTCCCGAGGAGGACAGTGCTTTAGGGGACTGGGGAGGCAGCAGCTCCTGTTTGAGGGACGCCCTGTCCCCTCAGCCGGGCACTGGCATGGTGTCAGGCCGAGGCCTGTGGCTGTCACACCCTGACCCTCCGTGATGCTGGTGGGAAGAACCACCCGCCTGGCTGTCCGGGGAGTCAGGACTTGGGGGATTTGGTTCCTGGGGCTCATCCCAGGCCCTGGTGGCCACCAGATGCAGACAGGCTGGCGCAGGGGACAGGCGGGCACAGGTGACTCGGACAGGCACGGCTCTGGCTGCAGGTTTAATGCGCCCGCACCCCGCGCTGCCCTCCACGCCTGGCTGGGCCCCGCACGGCTTGAATGGGCCCTGATCGCTTAGCACAGAAGCACCTCGGCTCCTGTCCCACAACCCGGCCAGAGGTGGGCCTGCCCGCTACGCCTGCAGCAGGAGCGCCACGGCCGCCAGCACCCACTTGGACGCCTTCTCCTTGGTCTTCAGGTTGAAGGTCCAGACGTAGGTGGGGCCACGGATGCGTGTCTTGTACACGGGACACTCATATATGTTCTTGGTCTCCATGCGGTCCACAGGGATGGCCTTGATGAAGATGACGGGCATGGCTGGCGTCAGCTCCTTCAGCCGCGCTTCAGCGATGACTCCGGTCTGGGTGTCCCAGCGAGCTCCTGTGGGGACAGCGCCACAGTGAGGGAGGGAGGCCGGAAGGAGAGGCCTGGCCCTGCGTCCGCCACCCCGCCTGGCTGCGCCCCCGGTGCACGGCCCAGACGGACTGTGGACGGGATGCCATCGGGGCTGTGTGATGGCCCGTGCCCCTCGGTCACCGGGCACAGCTCGGCTCTGCGCGGCCCGCTGTTCAGGGGCGGTGTCCCAGAACTCGCCTGCTGCCCGTCTCCACACACCCATCGCTCCAGCCAAGGGACCGGTGCCCTGGCCCCCGCGCCGGCTGTCCCGTGTGCACACGCAGTGTGATCGTACACACACGGGCTGTCCCTGAACGGCTGCTGTTACTTCTGCCCTAGTTAGTGACGTTTCTGTTTCCTGTCTGTAATTCCAAAATAAACATGGAGGTGACCTGCTGTGCTGGTGTGTGCTGATGTGGGAGTGGGCCCCTCACAGGAGGGCGATGCCCTCGCTGAGTAGGACAGGTGGAAGTGGCCGGGAGTGGGCTCAGCTCAGAGTGGGGCTGAGGCGATGGCTGGCCCGACGGTCCTGTGCGGCCGCCCGGAGCAGGACAGTGATGTGTGGGGGCCTCTCTCCCATCCTGCGGCACGTCTGGCCCCTCGGGCGGCCGGGCACTCGCTGGGAGAGGGGCAGCCGGGACTGCCTTTCCTGGGAACCTGTGCCTGGGCAGCAGCAGCTCAGAGGGGTGAGCCTGGGACAGGAGTGGTGGCCGAGGGGCTCCTGGCCCCCCCTCACCTGCCAAGTGCACATCTGTCCCGGGCTCCCTGCCCCAGGCCGGGAGGGCTTGGAACAGGTGCTCAGGTGAGGTGAGCCTGCCGGCTGCCTGGCGCCGTCCGTCCCCTGCAGACCCGGCTGAGCACCTTCTCAGAGCCCCGTCCGTCTGCTGTGTTCTGAGCTTTGAGCCTCAGGGCCACTGGACGCCTGTCCCCTCCCCCAGGGCGCAGCCCGTGGGCCAGGGCCAGTCTGGAGGCACGCGGCCGGCGCCCCTACCTTCCATGAAGAGCCCGTACACGAAGGAGCCCTCGCGGGGTGGGGCCGTCACGTCCTCCCTGATCTTCTTGGTCACCTCCACGGACAGACACATCTTGTCCAGCGGCCACTCGTTCTTCCTGGCCGTGGACTGCATGATGGCCGTGAGGAAGGACTGGGGGTTGAAGAAGCCGGCCAGCCACACGGTGGTGGGCAGCGCGAAGTCCGTGGTCCAGGCCTCCAGCTCCTGTGGGACGACTGGCCTCAGCAGGGCCAGGGCCACCGGGCCGAGGGCCAGGCCACCGCCGGCGGGCGGGCTTCCCTGTCTGGCCCCGGTTCACTAACTATTATTTTAATCATCAGAAAGAGTGGGAGGGGAGGGAGCCATGTGGGAGGCACATCGGCTAGTTGCCTCGTGGGAGGCACATCGGCTAGTTGCCTCCCGCACAGCCCGGCCAGGGCCAGGGCCCCAGCCAAAACCAAGGCATGTGCCCTCGACGGGGAGTGGAACCCATGGCTCTGGTCCTCAGGCCGACACTCTAACCACTGACCACACCAGCCAGGGCATGTCTAGCTCCATTTTAAATGGGAGGGAAAGAGGTGGGCTGAACATTTGGGGAGGATTTGAGAACCCAAAGAGTGTAAGACAGCAGCTCCTCCTGGGCCTGGGCTGCCGCTGGGCCTTCTGAGCCCCCTTCCGCCCCGTTGCGAGAGCCGGAACTGCTTCCGCCTCAGGCTCCTCCTTTTCTTTGGAGGAGGGGCCTGCATTTCTCGGGCACCTGTGGGGTGTGGACCAGGCCAGCGGGACCTCCAGACCTCTGGGGGGGACACGCTCCCTCTCGAAGCCACATTCCCACGGGCTCGGCGACGGCCGAGGCCCGGAGTGCGGCCCTCACCCTGATGCGGAGCAGCAGGTCGGCGAACCAGGCCGCCAGGCCCATCATGGAGGGGTAGGCCCGCACCACCCACGTGTCGGGCACGGTGTCGTAGAACAGCGCCGTGGACAGGTCTTCCATGTCCGGCGTGATGGTCAGTTCCCCCTGCAGGACAGACGGACACGGGGCAGGCAGGAGGGCAGCGGCCGTGAGTGACAGTGGTTTCACCGGCGCCTCTGCAGGTGCCTGCGGCAGCCACACTCCCGCCAGGGACAGCCTGGGTGACCGCCGCGGCCTGCTCTGGGCACCCAGTGGCCCGATGGGGGTTCTGCAGCGGGGGGTGCGTCAGCCGGTGCCCGCTTCCCGGCCCGGGCCCAGCCCCCGCGGGCCCTCACCTTCAGCCCCAGGCTCAGCTCCTTGAGGGAACGGCGCATCTCGTTGGTCAGGATGTTCATGCGCTCACACTCCTGGAAGGCCACCACCACGTAGGGCGTCTTCTCGGCCGCCTTGGCCATGATCTCGGTCATGTTGAACATCTCCGGGGTCTTCTCCAGGGTCTCGTCCAGCACGGCCTTCACCTGGGGGTCAGGCGCCCCGTCAGCGCCCCTGCGCCCGCCCCACTCAGCCCCGGGTCGGGAGCAGGGACAGTGGGGGGCCGGGAAACCTGGACCACACCCGACACGGGGAAGAGCCTTGGCCCCGGGCTCTGAGGGCCCCGGCCCCCTCGTCCAGGCCGTGGCTGTGGTCGGGGGCACCGCCCTAGCTTGGCACCTCAGACAGGCACCCGCTTCGTCCCGCTGTGGGTCACCCTCCGTCCTCTGTCGATGCCCTGCAGGGACCCTGTGGGGACCGGCCCACACGCGGGCAGGCGCAAGGCCTGCCCGTCAGCAGACTTCTGGTTTCAGTCATCAGACCAGGAAACCAGTCACGGGGCTGGGTGGCACCGAGGGTCTTCCCATCGAGGGTTTGGTCAGTTTGCTGGGAAGCCCACTACTTAGCTGGTTTCATTTTTATTTTTATTTTTTTTATCCTCACCCGAGGATATTTTTCCATTTTTTGTACAGATAGAGTGGGAGGGAGAGAGAGGAAGGGAGAGAGAGAGAGAAACATCGACGTGAAGGGACACATCGAGTGGCTGCCACCCGCACGACCAACCAGGGCCGGGGACAAACTGCAACCGAGGTACGTGCCCTTAGCGGGAACCGAACCCGGGTCTCTCCGGACCGCAGGTCGACGCTCTAACCGCTGAGCCAAACCGGCCAGGGCAGGTTTCATTTTTATTTTTAAAAATATTTTTATTGCTTTTTTAGGGAGAGAGAGAAACATCGATGTGAGAGAGAAACATCGATGTGAGAGAGAAATATCGATCATCACCCGCCTCCTGCACGCCCTCCACTGGGGATGGAGCCCACAACCCGGGCACGTGCCCTGACCAGGAATCAAACCGGGACCTCTCAGTCCCTGGGATGACAGTCCACTGAGCCACACCGACTGGGCTACTTAGCTGGTTTTTATTTATTTTTTTTCTCCTCACCAGAGGACATGTTTGCGTTTATATTCAGACAGAGTGGGAGGGAGAGAGAGAAATATTGACATGAAAGGGACACATCGAGTGGCTGCCACCCGCACAACCGACCAGGGCCGGGGACAAACTGCAAGCGAGGCACGTGCCCTTAGCGGGCACCGAACCCGGGACTCTGCACCGCGGGCCGGCGCTCTAACCGCTGAGCCGCACCGGCCAGGGCCTCAGCTGGTTTAACAGACTCGTCCAGAAGACAGACGGGGTGCGAAGGCGCGAAGGCTTCTCACTGGCAGAGGTGACCGGCCACGTGAGAGTGGACTGAATGCCCTCACCCCCTTGGGCGTTTCCGCTGCTGTGGGTGCTCACGGGTCAGCCACGGCCCTCGTCCGAGCTGCTCTGGAGGGACTGTCCTGTAAGGCCCCTGCCCAGGGCCTCCTGCCGGCTCCGTGTGCAGAGGGCGCGGTGGGGACGGCCGTGAACCCCGGAGGCTGCCGGGAGCCTGTCCGACCACCCGAGGGCCCCTGCCCCTCCCTCGGCCCGTGAGCCGGCTCCGGCGCCCCTGGGGCCTGTGAACAGCTTTCAGGGTCCACCCGGAGTTTCTGATTCCGAGGTCTGGGCTGGGACCCACGTGTGGTTGCTGACAGGTTCCAAGGGGCTCACTTGGTGGCCCCAGGTTCTGGGCCCTGCCCTTCACTGACGGGTGGATCACAAGGCGCCTACCTTCTCTTCACGAGACACCCCGGTGCCTGCTCCCGAGTCCGTCTCCTTGGGCTGCATCTCCAGGACGGTGCGGAACAGCTTCTCCGAGGTGACCGTCAAGAAGCCGATCTCTGCGTTGGGGTGCAGGCCGTACAGGTAGGGGCTCTCGGGGGGCAGGTTCTCGTTGATGTACTCGTGGTAACCCTGAGAAGGGGCGGTGGGTCAGCAGGCCGCCAGGCCACAGCGGTGTGGGCTGGGACCTTGCCAGAGGGCTCTGCCCAGGTCTCGCCCTCTGCACACCCAGTGCCCCAACCCCTTCCTGGGCGCCCCTTCTTGGCTCCCCCGCTCCCCTCCCCTCCCCCGAGGCTGCATTTCAAACTCTCGTCTGGCTCCCTGGCGTCTTGCTCAGCGATACTCCGTCCTGTCGCCGCATCACAGGGAGCTGGTGCTCCGTCCGCGGCTCGTCCCTGGGGAAGCTGCTCACCTTGTAGTCCAGGTTGGGGGGGATCTGGAACCCCGGGGCCAGGTGGATCTCCCCCTCCAGCATCTCCGGCCGGATGTATTCCATCAGGTAGGTCCTGCACAGCCGGCGGTCCCAGTCGTCCGTGATGTGGCCGCCGTACATGATTTCGCCGAAAAGGTAGCGGAGGTCGTCCCAGGGCACCTGGGGTGGGAGGGCGGAGGCCGTGAGGGGAGCGTGCGGCTGCCCCTTCTGTCTGCGTCGGCGGGGGGCCAGCTCCTGGGAGCGGCCCTTCCTCGTGCACCAGGCCCGGAGGGTCACCTCTGCCCTCATCACCAGGCCTGAGGCTCCCCTCTGGGGCGGCCGCTGGCCCTCGGCCTGCTCCCCGCTGTGCGTGCTGACCCCAGCTCGCCCCTCTGCCCGGGCCTCGCTCCTGTAGCCCAGGCTCTGAGACATGGGGCCTCTGTGCCTCGGCCCCTCCCCGTCCACGTTCTGCAGAGCAGCCTTGTTCTGCCCCGACTGGGTTGTGACTCGGGCACCGTGAGTCTTTCTGGCCATGGAGTCCAGTTCCTCAGACCTGGTGGCGGGTGTTCCTCGGGGTCCCACCGGGAGTGCCCGGCCCGGAGTGCCCGGCGTGTTCCGAATGCCCGGCAGCTCTCACCCGCGTGGGCCTCAGGCCTCTGAGGTGCAGTCAGCTCCGGGCCACCGTCTGCCCACAACCTGGGCTCCCAGGGCACAGGGAGCCAAGACCCCACTGGGCAGCCGTGGGACCCCGCAGACACCTCGTGCCGGCCACCAGGTCCCAAAGCCCAGCCAAGTGACTGCCGGCTGCTGGGGGTGCCTGCTCCTCGTCACCCGTCCCCAAACATGGCCCGTGCCCTGCAGCCTCCCGGGCAGAGCCGGGAGTCGGCTCCCCAGCACCCATGCTCCAGGCACCGGCAACAGGGGCCCGGGAGCCGCAAGTGGCAGCCTAGGGCCATTGCCGGTGTTCTGGCAGCCACTCAGCCCAGAG